TCCCCTTGGACCTCCTCCACTGCTGTGCCAGGAATGTTATCTATCTACCTGCTGCTCTCAAGCAGTGGGTAGACAGAGGCACATGCAGAGTGGCCCAGATCTCTGCTTCTGATAGGGAACCGCTACCTCACACCTGACACCCAACCCCCCCTCAAATTTGTCTCAACACCGCAGCTCCGGACACACTGCAAACATGGTTACCTGCTCCCTCCAGGTAGCCCACTCCAGTGCTGCAGCATTCAGGTTCCCTGTGCTCTGAGGAAGAGGAACCCGCGACTTGTGCAGCAGAAGAGCTTGAAGCAGCAGTGCTGGGGTGGGCATGCAAGGGAGCAGGGAGTCAGGTTTGCTGAGCTCTCTCCATCTCGTGCACCTCTGTGCTTTGCTTGGCTTCTCATTATGTCTTCCACAGCAGATACATGCAACATATCTCTATCTGTAAATCCCCAACAATTCATCTCCCTGTCACAGCAAATCTCCAACACATTTCTCTCCCCCTCAGCACCCCCCCCCCCCCCCTCTTCCACAATCACATTGTACCCTGGACCCTTTCTCACAGCGTAAACATTCCTCCCACTGACCTCACAGCACACCCCATCCTAACTGTACAAAACACATCCCTCTCCAGCCAGTAACACCCCTACTCACAGCAGATCTCCCCACATTCTCTCAAGGTCCCACCATGCTCACAGCTCATCTCCATCCTGCACCTTCCTTCCACATGTGCACACTGTGCCTTCACCCCAATTCTCTGTGCATGCATTCATCCAGGGCCAAATCACAGCGCACATTTTCAGCCACCACACCCTTAGTCACAGTGTAGAATATGATATTTGATGTCATATTTTTATGTCATATTCTTGTTCTTAAGGTGAAAAGTGTAAAAGAGGAAAAATAGCTTCCGTTCTTGCTTGAAACTCAAAAATGTGTTTAATTACAAAGTTACAAATGATTACAAAATTAATAGCATAAAACAAAAGTATAGAAATATGTAGATGTATTAATAAGTTCTTGTAAGTGTTTAAAGTGTTAGTCTCTCATGTCTGTGTCTGTGTGTCCCTGCATGACCGCGTGTGTCTGAGTGTGAGTCCATTGTGCTCCCCTGCCCCCCTCCTCTCCGGCCATCTAGGCCCAAGTGTAATCTGAAACTTTAGACAAACCATAAGGTTTCAAGGGGGATGGGAATAGAGGATTCTTGTGTTGAATGCAATAATACATTCTAATAAACTATATAATGTTACAAATAGCAATATTTATATATAATACAATGTTCTTTCTTATATGAATAACTTAATCAAGAAATATTACAATAAAGAGATATAATACATACTTTGTAAACACTTCATAAACTTTGATTTAGAATATTTCACAGTCTTTCTTGATAATAAGGAATGTGGGAGGTTCTAAGCATTTCTGCTTGATCAGTAACACATGTATAGCAAATACAACCTGAACCACAGACTCTAATCTCATTGCGTATATTCCCATACTGAACAAATGTATATATAGAAAATCAATCATCACTTATGTTCATCACATGCATACATAATCCCTATATGAATAATACCATTTTAACACACAGCAAACCCCCTTGTTGCTCCCAGTGTACTCACCTCCTACTTACAAACATATTCTTCTCTGGTTACCTTACAGTGCCTGTCCCCCTTTTTTCCCCCCAAGCACAGCACATCCCTTCCAGTCATCGATCCCCTTCTTTTCAAAATGCACCCCATCTCCCCATGTGTACAGCACACCTGCAGCACCCCTAAGTGCACATCTCCTCACCCTCTGCTGACAAATGCTCCCCAACTGCCTCACGACCCAGGTCCCAGCACATCATTCACCATCCAGCTAACTCCCCCCTCCCACCACCACCAAGGAACACGCCATCTGACAGTGCATCACACCCCAGCTTACACCTTACCAATTGCACCCCATCGCCACTTCACCTCCTCCTCCATAGCGGTTTCAACCCCTCTACCAACAGACGTCCCTTACCATCCACTTACCTGACACACATGCCTCCCTGGCCTCTTTATCTTCCCACTGACACATACTGTATCTTTCATTGTCCACCTCCCTCTTCTCCACTGGCCTCACCCCCCTCCCCACTGATAGACATCCCAATCTACAAGTCTCATCCCCTTCAAGGCACTACTTTAACCTCTCATGAATATCCCGCTCCTGCTATACTGAGGATACCTCTACCCTCCATGTTTCCCTCCTGCTATACTCCCAGCCATCATATGTTCCACACTCCTCTCCAGTACAAATCACCCACCATCACGTGCAGTAGTCCGCAGCAGTGATTCATCCATCTGTGCTGTTTAATGTGAATGAAGGAATCTATTGATATTCTGAAATCTAAAAGTGTATGGCTAGCTTGACACGTACGACTACCATAATATCTTATTCATAAATTATATAGAGGTTGGAATAAATAGCCCAATCTGAGTGTTTGCTGATGATACCAAACTCTGAAGGACAATAACTTCAGAACAAGACATAAATTACAGCAGGAAGACCTTGATAAAATTGAGAAGTGGGCTTCGACGTGGCAGATACGATTCAATATTTATCAATGTAAAGTTCTGCACTTGGGAGCAAAGAACAGGCATGCAAAATACTCTTTAGGAGATGCTCTGCTGGTGATGTCAGGGGTAGAGAAAGATCTGGGGGTCCTTACAGACCACAGACTTAGCAATAGCATGCAATACCAGGCTGCAGCTAACAAAGTAAGTGGAAGACTGTCCTGCATTAAAAGTGGGATTTTTGCAAGGGATACAAACATAATTCTACCACTTTATAAAACATGGGTTTGGCCTCATCTTGAGTATGCAGTTCCGTTTTGGTCACCAATCTTCACTCAGACAAACATGCACACACATATTGATTGAACTGGATGGACCTGTGTCTTTATTCAACCTTACCAACTATGATACCATGATAATATTCACAGCACTTCTCTCCCGCACATACTGTCTGCCGTCATGCTCTTTGCACTCCTCTCCATTGCATACTGCCCTCCACCATACATTCAACACTCCTGACCCAGGTACCACCAGGTGTTCATTTTTTACAATCATAGAGCCCCAGTGAATTGCCTGCATTATTCACATTTTTTAAATTATTTAGAGCACCAATATCATACCCCCAAAATGTAGTTATTTTACACCTAAGGGGAAAGAACACCATGTCATTGGCACCCAAATGAAAGTAATCTGAACATTACCTGGATGACATTTGTGTTTTCCCCCTTAAAATACTGTTTTTACCTTTTTTATCATCTCAGTGCTGCTCATCTCCTGCAGTCTATTTCAGTCACTTCTTGTCAACATGCATTTATGGGCTAAATATCATTGCTTTAGACAGGAATTCTGGTACTGACAATGTAGTGGCTGCACAATGTGTGTCAGCACAGCCGCTTATTGTCCCCAACAGTGGCACGTATGACGAGGCAACAGAAAGTTCAATTACCTCTATGAGAGTTGCACAGCTGTCTGTCATACTCAGCACTGCTTTGCAGGCTGGAGGTTTACAGATTGTCATACTTGTGTAAAGTCTCCCTAGGTTGCTAAATCATTAAGGCTATCTGTGTAGTTTTCCCACTTTTGCTGTCACCTTAACGAAGTGGCCAATGCTGTATTCCCATGAGCAACTCAACTCTGGCTGCCTCCGTGGCCAAACAGAGATCGCGATTGCTTGAGGTGATCTGAATCCTTTCTTTTATCATGCACATTTCAATGAATACTGAGATTTTGCTGCTCTCTGTCAGACACATGATGGTTCTCCAGGTTTAGACCCCAAAAGAGATCACCAGACGTATGGTGATCAGTGGCGTAACAACCGGGGGTGCAGCAGGGGCGCGGGCACCAGGCGAAAAAGTGAAGGGGGGGCGCCGGCCGAAAATGGCACTTTCGGCTAAATGCCGAAAGTGACATTTTCCTGCCGTTTTGTCCGCGCGGCCGTGATTCCTTTCATCCCCGCTGGGACACAGAGCAGTGCCCAGCGGGGATGAAAGGAATCAGAGAGAAAATGACAGCCGGCCGAGCGCTGCGGGACGAGCGCTGTGAGAAATTAATAAAAATTGATTTAAAAAAATGAAAAAGTTTCAAAAAAAATAAAATATTAAAAATTAAAAAATTAAAATAAAAACATGTGTGTGTGGAGGGGAGGTGCAGGGTACAGTTCCAGTGGTTGTTTATATAATGGGGGGGGGGGGGGCGAAAAAAAATTTCTGCCCCGGGCGCCCAGAACTCTGGTTACGCCACTGATGGTGATTCATCGTTCCCTGCGTTGCACCTGTACAAATGTTAGAGCACTGACATATCCATTTTCTTTCATAAGGCAGTGCCACAGACTGGCACCTGGTTAATAGCACAGCTCTTTTAACCAATTTAATTTCTGCAATACACGTACTGGTCAGCAAAGGTTCCATTATTTTCTATACACATAAATCTGCAGAAAAAGCCAATGACAACGCAATGACAGGCTGCCAGGAGCTGCGGCTGTCCACTGCTGTTTACATGTTTTAGCACATCCAGTGGTTACCTGCAGTTAGGGAGGGAAGTCTGACCCCTGAAGCAATTTGCCTGTGTCCAGAGTCAGACATTTTGTTCCTAACTGCAGGCAACCGCTGAATGTGGAGATTTATGTGAACAGCCTGTCATTGCTTTTTACAGGTTTGCATACACCTGTGATTCCACCCCCAGGACTCCATGGATTGTCACCACAGGAATCTGCTGTCCATCTCTAATTGCATGTGTGAATGGGACCATACTCCAATGACTACAGTAAATTCTCTGGCCATTTTATAAGTACACCTTGCTAGTACAAGGTTGGACCCCCTTTGTCTTCAGAACTGCCTTAATTGTTCATGACATAGATTCAAAAAGGTCCTGAAAACATTCCTTAGAGAGTTTGTTCCATATTGACATGATAGCATCACGCAGTTGCTGCAGATTTGTCAGCTGAACATCCATGATGTGCATCTCCCGTTCCACCACATCCAAAAGGTGCTCTATTGGATTGAGATCTGGTGACTGTGGAAGCCATTTGAGTACAGTGAACTCATAACCTTGTTGAAGAGGATTTTAGGTCTGTGACATGGTGCGTTATCTTGCTGGAATTAGCCATCAGTAGATGGGTACACCATGATCATAAAGGGATTAGAGCTGCAACAGTTAATCGATTTAGTCGATTAAAATCGACGATTGAAAACGTTGCCAACGTTTTCGGCCGTCGATTCGTCGGCTATCGATTGATTTCCCTGTTCGGGGCTCCACACACGGCCTGAAGCACACGTCACACGCTGTTTCCGTCCCGCTGCGCCCGCCGGACATAAGCCACGCCCACCGCACGCTGCTCCCGCCGTGCCCACAGGACACATAAGCCACGCCCCCTGCACGCTGAAGCCGTGCACGCCGCTGCTCTCCACCATGAGCTCCCTCACTCGGCGCTGGTACGGCAGGCTCCCTCACTTGGCGCTGGTACGGCAGGCTCCCTCACTCGGCGCTGGTACGTCAGGACTACAAATGTAGCTGCCTAGAGTCTGCAAGGGATGTAAAACTGCAGTTTTAGAAATTCCACATTAAAGACTACTCAAAAGTATTCTTTTTTACCCTGATTTTTAAATGGATAGCCTGAGAGTAAAAGTATACTCATGTTTCTTATTTCCACACTCCCCCTCCCTTCTTTTATGTTTCTCTCAACCCTCGCTGTTTCACGCTCGCTCTCCTAGTTTGTCTGTATTGAATGTTCTCAGTACAACGCCTCGGTCACCTTTTGTCGACAGGTTGCCTGCCCCTCTGATATGATTCGCCCCCGACAGCGAGGCGTTGATCATAACCTAACATGGTGGCGATTTATATATTGTGTCTAGCTCAGGGATTTCATAACTGCCTATACCATGAGTGCCTTCTATGCTCTAAGGCCCGGACGTGCTATGTATCTGATTAATGAGACCGCGGGTTTTTGTGCTGTATGTACGTCTTTTTGTTTCTGTTATTGTATCCATGTTCTTTTGTCTTTGTAAAAAATTCAATAAAAACGTATTTCTGAAAAAAAATTAATTCAGATGGCCCCTTCTAGTATTTCTTAAAAGCCCCTCCCCTAAGGTTTTTGCACACCTTGAGGTAGAATCTTTTTAATCTAGCTATTATCTGTTAATTTGGGGCGTGCTCCCTTTGAAGTACACGGCCAAAAAAATTATCTTCAATCACTAAACAATTTGTCTAAAACGTCCTGAATAAATATTTTTGTGACAGACGGATCACAAAATTATATAGTGTAGAGCTGCAACAATTATTCGATTAAAATTGACAATGGAAAACGTTGTGAAAGTTTTCCATCGTCGATTCGTCGGCTAAAATTCAAATTTCCCGCTCACGCCCGCTGCTTACGTCCGCCGCTTACGCCACGCCCACGTCAGTTAAGCCGCTCGCGCCTACGCTGGTATACCCGCTCACGCGACGCCGCTTACGCCACGCTGAGGACATGCGTCTGGCCCTCTCCTCCCGGTGAGAAAAGCTGCAGCCCTAAAAGGGATAGACATAGCCAGAAAATATTCCTCACACCATTACACCACCACCAGCCTGAACCATTAATTCAAGTCAGGATGGATCCATACTTTCATGTTGTTTACGCCAAATTCTGAACCAACCATTCGAATGTCACAGCAGAAATCAAGATTCATCAGACCAGGCAATATTTTTCCTATCTTCTATTGTCCAATTTTGGTGAGACCTTGTGAATTGTAGCCTCGGTTTTTTGTTCTTAGCTAACAGGAGTGGCACCTGGCATGGTTTTCTGCTGCTGTAGACCATCTGCTTTAAGGTTCCAGGTGTTGTGTGTTCTAAGATGCTCTTCTGCATACCTTAGTTATAATGAGTGGTAATTTAAGTAACATACTGAAAGATATCTTCTTTAGTACATGAATTACACTACTCAGACATCAGCTCAACATTCAATGTTCAGAGTCTAAGTTCTTTGAGGTAAGGCTCCAGCTTCTATTACTTAAAATATTTGTGTATGTTAGGTCATTGCTATAGCCATGTATGTTTCTAAATCTATAATAACTCCCCACTTGCTATTTCAACATGCTATGTTTATAAATAGCTTGTGAAAAATCTGGGGCAACCCTGGGCACTTCAAGGAGAACAATGATGTGGCACACATAGCACACTACGGCAAATGTGTTGTATGTCCACACTGTGATGACAGTTGGAGGTGCCTAAAGGGGCATAGTTAACTAGAACCTGAACAAAAAAGAAGGAAACAAATCAGCTGGACATGCAATTTAAAATAATAGGCCATGAAGGTTCTTGTTCAGACACTTCCACTTATAGGGTGACAGCACTCTGTCCCTGTCTCCCAACTGCTGTTCTGCATTGTCCCTTTCTTAACATACACTTCTGGTGGAATCTATTAGTGGCCATATTGACACTGATAGTGTACGCATTTTCCACTGCTGTTACCATTAGGAAACCTGCCCTGAGCAATCACATGTAACTGTCACTGGAGCACATGCATGTAGATAGATAATGGCTGAAACAAGCTGCAGGACAATAGCAGAACTGAGATGCAACAAAGCTAAAAAAAAGTGAAAGTATTTTCTAAAAGAGAAAAAAAACATGGCATGACATAATTTATGACACACAGGGGGAATTATCAAAACTGGAGGAGACAAAAACTGGAGCAGATGTGCATGGAAACTAATCAGCTTTTCTCGTTTGATCAGTTAAGATTTGAAAATGGAAGAGAGAGGCTGACTGGTTGCACATCTGCAGCAAGTTTTTGTCTGCTCCAGTTTTGATAGATTCCCGTCACTGTTCTTTAGCAAAGTAAATATCATCCAGTACGGATTTATATCCGCTTTAAATGACCTAACCGAGATTGCAGCCCGGCAGAAGTCCCCCCAATGGAATATTCACTCAAGTTTGGACCCTAAAAACTACTTTAAAGGGTTTCTAAACCCTCCGTTTTTTTTGCATATATCTTCTGCTAGCAAGCAGTATATATATATATGCAAAATGTAAAAAAAACAAAACAAAAAAACAAAAACGCTTTAACAGCGGTTTAAACTTACCCCGTCTTCACCGCGCGCTCCAGTCCGAAAATCCAAAACTACTCGGGCGGCCGCAAAGCATCTTGGGGCGGGCGCATGCACAGTTCGGATTTTCGGCCGGGAGACGAGGAGAGTTGCAAGGTAAGTCTATGGACGCATGCACCCGCATGCAGACACCGTGGGACAGGAAGTGCCAGCAAGTCAGCGCTGGATGGGAGAGCCGTCGCACCGCTGGAGGGACAGATAAAACATCAGGAAAGAAGAAGAAGATCGGATTAAGAGATATCATTTAAGGTAAGTGCTGACATTAACATTGGGGGGAGGGAAAAAAACAATTTGACTTTAATGTCACTTTAATCTGCAGTTCTGAAGACCTCTTTCATCTGACACACAGGTTCAACTTTCCCCAAACACTGCACAGTCACCAGTACGGATTTCAGAAAGTAACACTTGCACCAAGAACAGGTTGTGCATGTAGAGTGAAGCAATCCAACAGTTAAAACATCAGCAAGAAAACATTTTAAGAGTGCAAGAGGTTCCAAATGACAGATAAAACAAACAATGATAGGGCTTTGAAAACCTCGGACCCCTTTGCTCCCTGATGTTAACAAGGCTCTCTTTATTATAGCAGCCTTTCAGAAGTGAATACAAATTATTGCTTTGCCCTGGTTCTGCCCTTAAGCATAAGGGAGGAGGGGTGGACAGGACATCAAAGAGGGAAAAAATACACTCTGGAGTAAAAGAGCAATCAGGGATATTTAATGACAACATTAGACAAGGTTTGAATAATGGAGTCTTCCCAAATTAAACTCAAATGGGTTTTCTACAAAAAGCATTATTAAAAAAAGATAAAAGTAATTTTAATTAAATAAAAAATCCTGAATGAAAGGCCAAAAAGAGAACAAGATACAAATATAACTTGTTTTCTGCTGTTCATTTTGCCAAAAATGACAACATAGTGTAGGATTACCCATCACTTTGCCAACTTTCCTCAAGCTGTTACAAAAACATGGTTCTACTCAGTTTGCTCGCTGCCAGATTCAGGAAAAACTCAATTCATTTATTTGCTCTGTCGTGCAGTCATCACTGAATAAAGAAAAAAAGGCCCAGTGTGCTTCGGCCAGAAGGAATGGTACAGCACTTACACTCGACTATTAATTTGTGATGATTATATTTATTCTGTACAGCAACTAATTGACTGCAGTTACTCTGCTTCTTGCCTTCCTTAGTATTAAATCTTATATATGCTATGTACTACTTGATATTGTGTAGCCAAGTGGTCTGTGTTTAGGATCACTACTGATAATGCTATCTTTAAAAGGATCTAAAGCCCAAACTGTTTTTTTTTAACATTCATTTGGCTAGAGTTGGAGGGGTAAAACCCCTGCCATAACCCTCTGTGTGATGGGAAATCTACCCATCTGTGTCCCGCATTGGGGAGATTTCCCTTCACTCCCTGTTCCAAAGTCACAACAGGAAGTGAAAGGAAATCCCTTCAAAGTGAGGATAATTTCTAGCTGACACCAATGTTACGAGAAATAGTGCCCCAACTGCATGATTTGCCATCGAATCATGTTCTGGTGACAACTTAAAATGTGGGATTTTCTCTCACTTTTTGGGATAATGGTTAGGCCAAAAAGAGAGGGCAAATCTTCCTAAAGGAGACAGAGACAGCAATAAAAACATAAATTAAACAAGAAAGAGCCAGTACGCCTTAACCACCTGTTGTCCGACCATTGTAATTAAACGGCTGGACAGCGGCTTCTTGGATGCGGGTGGGCGTTTTTAAACATCACATCCCGCCCCTAGGCGGTGCGCACGAGCGGAAAATGAGCTTGAAATGTAAACAGCCAGCGAAGGCTGTTTACATAAAAGTGTTTGGGCATTTGCAGAGAAGCCCAATCGCTTGTAATATGCATGCGGGTCCCCCCCCCCCGCCGCAGCCGGCGATAC